ATCATTTAGAGATGAACTTACTCAATACTTATTTTTTTAACTTTTTTGGAGGGTGGTCTTCTCATAAACACCTTCAACATTTTCTGTGTTTTTTGGTAGGATTTTGCATGTGGTATTGGTATTACTGCTGTCCTGACTATGTGGACAGAGGGTGAGAGTTGAGTGGGAAAGGACGACACAAGAAAACCAAAAAGAAAAACAAATAAGTGGAAAGTGCTGTTTAAAAAAATATATATTTCCATTACAGCACTGTTGCCTTCTGTCAGTCACTGGACTAATATTTACACTCTGATGTAGAACCAAACCTGGTCTTAAATAAAAAAAAAAAGTGGTTACATGATTTTCTATTAAGAGCCTTTCTATATCAGATACTCTGGAACACTGATCAATATCATATGAAGTGCCTTTTCATGTATCACTGTATGGAACTGTGAGTACAAAATTCAGCAGTCCCAGGAAAATGTCCCCATTACATGACCGCCCACTCCGAGTATTTAAATGTAACTGTACCTGTAGGCAAATGCTATGTTTTACATTTCCATAAGAAATGTAACTATTTGGTTACCTTCATAACAAAGATTTACTATTTGCCACATAGCTGTTAAATTTAAACTGTCACCAGGGAAATCTGCCTCAAATTTTTGAGTTATATTATGGATATGAAGAATTTGACTTGCTTGTGTTTTATGTTGGGTTGATTAATTTTTTTATTTTTTTTTAAATAGTGCTTTGATGTAATGGCCATGTCTTATGGGGTTTGCTTGTCACAATGCTTTGCTTTAGATATATTTAGAGGAAGGCTTTCTTTAGCAAAGAAACGGGAGGACATGAACATAAAAAAATAAAATAATTTGGTCAGGCATTAAGAAAATGCTGTACCAATACATTTCTAAATAATTGGCTTAAATAGGCTTTAATGTGTCCTGTTTTTCAGATGATGAAGGTGCCACCCCTGTAAAAAGGAGACGGGTTAGCAATGAAGAGGAGAATATGGTAGAAAGTTGTGTTGGCGATCTGAAAAATGAGCGTGAAGCATCTACACCAACAAGCACGTCTGACAATGAGACAAGAGACTCTATCATTGACCCAGGAACTGAGCAAGACCCCCCATCTCCTGAAAATAATTCTGCTAAGGAATACAGGATAGAGGTTTCCTCTTCATTTTCTGAAGATTTACTTCTGCCCTCACGGCCTCAGCAGACAGAAGATCAACCTGGTAGCAGCGGGAAATATGAAGAAAGCAAAGAAATGAAAGAAGTTGAGAGCCCTAAAGACACTAATGTGACCGATGAAGACCACGAGCTTCCTTCCACCTCTATTTCTGCAGTGTTGGCTGATTTAGCAGATCTAAAGAGCTGTGGCAATCAGCCCTTGTCCTCACAGGAACCGGAACTAAGCCCGTCTATAAATTGTGAGCATTCCAGGGGACTTTTTAGTCATGTTCAACAAAATGACATTTTAGATACCCTGTGCAGGACCATAGAGTCCACGATCCTTGTGGTATCAAGGATAACAGGAAAAGAAAACAAAGCTGCTTCTTGACATTAGTTGTAGCATGTCTGCTTTTAAGTCTTTATTTTTTTATTAATATTTTTTGGGGGGTTTTGGATGGGGGGGATTTTTTTTTTTTTAAATGCTGTTTGTATACAAAATTTTGCATTTTTTTTCTGTTTTGTGCTTCAGTTTGTCAAGTGCTTTCTGCTTGAATGGCAAGATAGATTTATATGCTTTATTCTTGGTCACGCAGATGATCTCAAACAAGACTTGCATATACAGTACACTTTGTACAGGCCAATCATAATGGATATGTTTTATTGTAATTCAGGTTCACTGTAAAAGGCACTCATTTAATATGACTGCCTGGAAAATGGAGGTTACCTAACCCAACATGATGTAATTTAAAGTTGTCATTTTTACTGTGTATAATATAGTGTCCTCTGTGCCAGTTTTGTACCTTATATTAGAGGCAGAATGCCTCAGAAATCGCTGTGGTTCTTATTATCAAAATTAAGTTTACTTGTACTAAACCACAAGAAATTTGATTCTGTAAAGAATCCTTTCTGGCTGTGGCCTGGCAGTATATATGGTGCTTTATTTAACAGAATACCTGTGGAAAAAATAAAGCACACTTGATGTAAAAACAAAAAACAAAAAAAAATAACCAGTCAAAAAACCCCACAAAAATAATTGTTTTATTTTATTGAACTGATTGATTGCTATTCTGTGCACTTCATTAAACTAATTGTGATGACTTTTCATTTCTGTGTACTTCTGCTTCATTTAACAATTAATTTGATAAATCTTTGATTTTAAGTTGTATAAAATGATCCAAATTCAGAAGTTCTATTAAACGTCATGTTATTATTGTGTTGAGAAATCTGTGTTTCGCAAATTGTCCTATAGCAGTACCGAGGGCTGAAGAGAAATTGAGAAAATAAGCCAAGTGAGATAAAGTCCCGTTCTCAGAATAATGTTACTACAGAGCAAAATATTCCACACTTGAAATATACTACGTTATTTAACCCCTTAAGGACCAGACTTCTGGAATAAAAGGGAATCATGACATGTCACACATGTCATGTCCTTAAGGGGTTAAACAAACAACTGTTTTAGGATCTGCTGCTAATTAGGGATGCACTGAAATTTAAATTCTGGGCCGAAACCGAAAATTCAGGATGCCCTTTACCGAAACCGAAAATGACGATTCTACCCAAATGATTTTTAAAAGTTTTTTTTCCTATAATTTTATTAATATTTGACTTTTTAATTGTCAGCAACTTACAGTGAATTTCATATTTTAGGCCATAATAACTAAACTAGAAAAAGTTTGGCTAATGTGGCCTAAAATAATAATCAGTTTAATTTCACTTTCACTTCCTCACAATTGACAGCTAAATAATAACCCTGAATTTATTACTAGGTCAAAGAGGTGGCTGTTGTAAAATTGCAAATTCCATGATGCTCTGCGAGCCTAAAGGGTGAGAAAGCATGATAAGACTTGTAGTTCTCCAGCACCTTTCCATTATCATTATGTATTTTCTAGTCCTGCTTTCTCTTTGTGACAGGCAAAATGATGCAGGGTAAACAATGAGACTACAGGGAAAGCAGTGAGCTTAACAGTGGGTGAAAGGTACATTTATTCATAGTGAAATTAAAAAATACAGGGTTATTCGTAAAACCTACATTCATCAGGGAATCATACATTTACAAAAATAAATTTCCAGAGGTAGCTGTTGTAAAACTGCAACTCCCATACTCTGTGAGCCTTAAGGGTGAGAAAGCATGATGGGAGTTGTAGTTCTCCAGCACCTGTCACAGCAGGTTCTACATATGATTATAGCACTGAGAAACATGACTACTCAAGACCGCGACCGGGTCTATGTAATGTCGGCCGGCTGGGAGACGGCGTAGGAGGGAGAGGAGCACACGAAGAGCTCCAGACTCCTTCACTCCCCCCAGCAGGATCAGGGCTCCAAGCCAACCTCCTGGGCACACAAGGTAAGCTAACAGGAGGGTGGCTGGAAAAATATATATTTAAAAAAAAAAAATCTTGTGTGTGTATATATATGTATGCGCACACAGATCTCTCTCTCTCTCTCTCTCTCTCTCTCTCTCTCTCTCTCTCTCTCTATATATATATATATATATATATATATATATCTATCTATCTATCTATATCTATCTATCTATATCTATCTATATCTATCTATATCTATCTATCTATATCTATCTATCTATATCTATCTATATCTATCTATATCTATATCTCTCTATATCTCTCTATATCTCTCTATATCTCTCTATATCTCTCTATATCTCTCTATATCTCTCTATATCTCTCTATATCTCTCTATATCTCTCTATATCTCTCTCTATATATATATATATATATAGAGAGAAAGAGAGAGATCTGTGTGCGCATACATTTAGGTCTGTGTGTCAGGGTGTGTTTTTTTTATGTCCGTGTGTGTATATCTGTGTCATGGTGTGGGCATATATCAATGTTTGTGTGTCGGTGTATTTATATGCATCTGTGTGTTAATGTGCATTAATATGTGGTAGTGTATGTGCATACATCCAAGCAGTCAAAAGTTTGTGAACCACTATTTATACACAAAAACTGCTTTATTTGACTAAAGTTGTTTTGGTGACTAGTGTCCCCTTTTAACCCCTTTATTACGGACCGGGTCTGTCATGCTGGGGAAGCCCTTAACGCCCGATGACGGACCCGGTCCGTCACACGCTAAAATGAGCCCCAGGTCGCCACGGTGCCGGCAATCGTGGGGTTAGCGCTGTTGCTGGGTGCCTCTGAGTCAGGAGCAGACCAGCAACAGCAAATTGCGATGTCACAGCCCACGTGATTGCTTTGATAGCCAGTCACAGCGGTCACAATGCTACTGGGATATCAGATCCACCTCCCTCCACTTCTTGTGGGTTTTTTAAGTGGAGAGAGGAGGATCATTGTTACATTGTGTCCCTGAAGTGAATAAATTATCTGAAGAGGTTCCAAATCCCCTTTAACCTGTTATTTAAAAAAAATTAACCCTGATTGATCACTGCCAACAGTGTTCAAAATACAATGTGATCTATTTTTTTTTTTTTTTACCCTCGTGTTAAATTTGATTTTTTTTAGTAGCGCAGAGGAGGCGTATGCCCTGTAAGCTGCTGACTCAGAAGCGACCGACACTGTCTCAGAGAGTGACGCAGGGGACAGGGACTATGTTCCAGATACTGCAGGACTATCAGGGGAACGGCAGCTCTCTGCCAGAATGAACTGCTGTCACTAAAGCACTGTGATAAAAAGGTGTTCGTCCTAACCACCATCTATGGTGAACGCGGTTGCAGTTGGTGGCAGAGGGGAAATAAAATGGGTGCCAGTCTGCAAAACTCATTACAATCTGCATATGGGGGGGAGTTGACTTGTCCGATCAACTGATGCAGCCGTATTTGATCATGTGAAATACCAGGGCATGCTATATAAAAAATAAAAAAAAAAGTTGGCACATATATAAAAACTACAAAGGCATTGTGGATTGCCGTCATATATAAATATATATATATGACGGCAATCCACAATGCCTTTGTATTTTTTAAAAAGGCAAATGCTGAGCTGAAATGCACCTTTCTATCATTTCAGTTTCAGCTAATTACTGGGTTGTTTGAGTGCCACAGAGGGGGACCATCAGTGGAACCTAGCAGAAGAATGGAGGCAGATCACTTCTGCTTCAGTATTCCATCAACTCCCTGAAAGAAAACCTCCCAGAAAAGTTGCAGGGTGTGTTACAAGAGGGGCTTAAGAGCTGAAACCAGTTATTACGGCCCTGATTGCCCCTCTCAGCCCTGCCTATGTATTTGCCATGGTTTTAAAATTTTCCACACCCAGGCCGAATAATATGACCGGTTTGGGGGTTTGATTTTAATCATTTGTTTGGTAACCAAATTTTGGCTTTGTCTCCTGTTTATAATGTCTTCTCTGATCCTTGACCTTGGCTTGTCCTATCGTTGTTCCGTTTCTCTTTACTCCTTTGACCTTGGCTTGTAACTTGACTGTTCTCTAGTTGTATAGCCCGGCCATTCTAAGGACCGCTATTACAAGTTTCTCTCTCTGTGTTTTTGTTCTGGAATCTATGACCGCGTTGCCTGGGATGGAGATGACTAGGTACTATGCCCTGATAAGTTTACACCAAATATTCCCCCTTTCACAGCAAATAGTATGCACTTGTTCATAATTTGAATTGATGAGCTGCTTATATTTAAAAATAGATGTGGCCTTTGAGAGGTAGTTTGCAATCATCAGCTGCTAAAATGAGACTTGGGCCCAGCATCCACTTTTGAAAAATATGAAATTGGTGTGTCTCAAATGTGCTCCTTCAACATCATCATATCCCTGAAAAAGGTATACTTAAGGGTATTGTATTAAGACGACACAGCTGAGCAACATATTAGGTGTTATACTGCCGTAGCACATAAGGATTGCAAAATATACAGTAACATCTCAAAGTGTGTGTCAAGAAGGCAGAAAAATGCTAATCGCTACTAGACTTGGTACAAACTAGCAAAAAAAATTGTACGCTAAGGTTTAAAATATGCCTTTTGAACTACCTTGGGGTGTCTACTTTTACAAATGGTAGGCCTTTGTGGGGGGTTTTTAACAGTGAAACTGCTATAATGCCCCAAAATAAACATTGGCCCATCAAATTCGTCTCTCAAAATTCTACTGTAAATACTGAAATGGACAGGTCTATATGGCACTGTAGCTTCATAAAATAGTGCCAAAGACATTCATTTGGGGTATCATTTTACTCAGACGACTTAGCTGAGCATAATTTTGGATCTTTGATCATAATGGCACATATCAAGTATACAAAATGCCCAGCAAAAATGTAATCCGTACGTAAAAAATGGCAAACATTTTTTACCACATACTTTGACATATATTGGTGAACAAATGGGGGCATGAGGCACAATATGCACTATATGAGATATCCTGGAGTGTCTACTGTTACAAATGGTAGGCCTCTGTGGGCTTTTTTGAACAATCAAACTGCTATAATACCCCAAATTAAAGCATTGACCCATCAAATTCGTCTCACAAAATTCTACTGTAAATACTAAAATGGACAGGTCTCCTATATGGCACTGTAGCTTCACGAAATAGTGCCAAAAATATACAACAGAGGCAGGGCCAGATTAAGAGCCAAGTGGGCCTGGTGCTGACAATTATGATGGGCCTAATTACTGAATCTTATCAACCAAAAACACTAAAACAGTCATACCTCCCAAGCGTCATGTATCTGAAACTCAAAGGTTGCAGCTATATAAAAATACATACTCTATGCTAATCTCTCTAATTTATGCTTTCATCTTTCAAGTAAATCCATACCCTCTAACAGCAGTGTCCAGTGAAGCAGGAAGTCAATGGGCAGGGTAAAAGAGTGTGCCACTGGTGCGAATCATGTGATCAGACCTGCCAAAAAGGGTGCATATTTGTCCAAAGAATTGGAAGGCCAGTCTGGCATGAATGCATGTCAGGCTGCCTGCCTGCCAGCCAATCATGCAGGCTGTCCAACTAATGGCATACTATGCAGGCAGAACCCTGAGCTTGACATAAATGCATCAAATGATGCGCCTACTCCACGCTTTCTAAAGTCTCTCCCCTAGCACTCACATGTCCACATGTCTCCTTATCTTCTTACTAGCAGGCAGAGGTTCCTGGTATAAAGTCTGGGACAAAGAAAATGTACATGTAGTGAGTGTAGAAGAAAGGGGACATGCCACAGTGTTAGAGAGACCAAAGTCTGCATTACCTAAACTAATTTTATTGTCAGCCAGTCCACACAAGTTTTGTTCCCATTCATCCCTTTAAGCTTCCAAACTTAAAGGGACACTACAGTCACCAGAACAACTACAACTTATTGTATTTGTTCTGTTAAGTAGAATCATTCCCTTCAGGCTTTTTGCAGTAAACACTGTCTTTTCAGAGAAAATAACTCCACTGGCCACTCCTTAGATGGCTGCTAGAGGCAGGGCCGGATTAACATAGGGGCTGATGGAGCTGCAGCTCCAGGCCCATGGAATAGGCCCATTGATTTAAAAAAAAAATATATATATATATATATATATTTTTTTTTTTTTACACAGTACTCTTAGGGTTGCCAGGTATTTCTCATGTATTTCTTATGGTTGTCAGGTATTTCTCAGAAGTATTTCTCAGGTATTTGAGGCTGCCTAACCGGTGCCGGTATTGCAGTAATACCGGCAATACAAATGTCTGTCTCGGTATAAACAGAGATTATTCTGCAATACCAGCGCCAGCCAGTAGGGGTCGCTGTTTGTGTGGAGAGAGGCAGTGATAAGAAGTTACAGCATCTCCCTCCCTGCCTCTCTCTACTCACTGATCCACGGGGGAGCAGCTCTGTACAGAGAGTCCAGACAGCAGCTCCAAGCCTGCAAAACATGGGGACGGTGAGAGACTTGGGGACGCTGAGACTTTGGGACACTGGGAAACATGGGGACCCTGAGACACTAGGGACACAGTGGCCCCTAGTCTCTCAGTGTCCTCATGTCTCCCAGCCAGTGTCCCTAGTGTCTCAGTGCCCCAATGTCTCTCTGTGTCCCTAGTCTCTCAGTGTCCCCATGTATCTGTGTCACCATGTATCTCAGTGTCCCTATGTCTCTCCCAGTGTCTCGGTGTCCCCATGTGTCTAAGTGTGCCCTAGTGTCCTAGTGAAATCGGGAAACTGGGATACATGGGGACACAGACTCTAAGGGACACTGGGAGACATGGGGATACAAACACTAGGGGACACTGGGTGACATGGGGACCCTGAGACACTAGGGGACACTGAGCGACTTTGAGACTTGGGAGATATGGGGCACTCCCAGTGTCCCCATGTCTCCCAGCCACTGTCCCTAGTATCTCAGTATCCCCATGTCTCCCAGTGTCCCTGGTGCCTCTCGGTGTCTGTAGTGTGCCAGTGTTCCTAGTGCCTCAGTGTTTCCTAGTCTCCCAAAGTCCCATAGTCTCCCAGTGTCTCAGTGTCCCAATGTCTCCCAGTGTCCCCATGTCTCCTAGTGTCTCAGTGTCCTCTAGTATAAAAGAAAATCTCAGGCACTCACTGTGATAGATTTAAGCAGGTTTATTGGACACCGCAACGTTTTGACCTGTACCCAGGTCTTTATCAAGTCTCCAGTGTCCCCTATCTATCAGAGTGTCTCAGTGTCCCTGGTGTCCTTAGTGTCACAGTGTCCCCTAGTCTCTCAGATTCCCCTAGTCTTCCAGTGTCCGCATGTCTCACAGTGCCCCCAAGTGTCTCAGTGTCCCCTAGTATAAAAGAAAGAAATCTCAGGCACTCACTGTGATAGATTTAAGCAGGTTTATTGGACACCGCAACGTTTTGACCTGTACCCAGGTCTTTATGAAGTCTCCAGTGGCCCCTATATATCACAGTGTCCCCTATGTATGAGTCTGTGTCCCCAGGTCTCCCAGTGTTCCCTAGTATCTCAGTGTCTCCATGTCTCCCAGTGTCCCAATGTCTCTCAATGTCCCCTAGTGTCTAAGTGACATGGGGACACTGGGAGACATAGGGACACAGACACTAAGGGACTGGGAGACATGGGGACACAGACATGCCCCTTTTTGTGTATGTTCACCCCTTTCGGCAGAATGCTTATGTGATTTGTGTCAGTGGCCCACCCTTTTATCCCATCCATAGACTTCCTGCTTTACTGGACACTTCTGTTAGGGGGTATGGGTTTACTTGAAAGATGAAAGTGTGAGATTAGAATAGGGAATGTGTTTTCTCATAGCTGCATCCTATGAGTTTCCATCAGATACACGACGCTTCGGAGGTAGGACTTTTAGTCAATAAGATTTTGTAATTAGGCCCATCATAATTGTCAGCACCAGGCCCACTGGGCTCTTAATCTGGCCCTGGCTAGAGGTGCTTCTTGGGGCAGTACTGCCTAGTGTACAGCACTGCCATTCAGTGTCTCCACTCTCTGCATGCAGACACTGAACTTTCCTCATAGAGATGCATTGATTCAATTTATCTTTATGAGGAGATGCCGATTGGCCAGGGCTATGTCTGACTTGTGCTGGCTCTGCCCCTGATCTGCCTAGTTGACAGTCTCAGCCAATCCTATGGGGAAGTATTGTAATTTGCTCAGACCACCACTTCTGATGATGTCAGCAGACAGTCAGTTCAGAGGCAGAGCCAGCAGCTGCAGACTTGAATACAAGTAAAATTTTACTATATTTAGGGAGGCAAGATGGGGCCAGGGGGGCTAGATGGTGGTTTTAACATAATAGGGTCAGAAATACATGATTCTGTTCCTGACCCTATAGTGTTCCTTTAAGCAAGAGTATGTGAAGAGTAATTAGGGTTGCCACCTTTCTTGGAAAAAAAAATGCCAGCCTTAAATAATTTGCATAATTAATTATGTATGCGTGACATCACATGATTTAAATCACAAGGAGTGACATAAGAGAAAATTCTGTAAAATCACCAACAAACTACTACTATTCTGCTGTATAGATGGATTGCTCCCAGTATCTCAGTCCCGCAAGTTACCCAGTGTCTCAGTGTCCCTATGTTTCACAGTGTCAGTGTCCCCATGTTGCCCAGTCCTCTAGTCTCCCAGTGTCCCCATATCTCAGTGCGTTCCCGTGTCACTAGAATGCTAGGGGACACAGAGACACTTGGGGACACAGACACTAGGGACACAGAGACTGGAAGACATAGGGACACTGAAACATTTGGGGACACTAAGAGACATGAGGGACACTAGGGATACTGGTTGCGAGACAGACACTTGTGGACATGGACACTGGGACACTAGGCACACTGAGAGACATGGGGACACTGGGAGACACAGGGACACTGATAAACTAGGGACACTGGCTGGGGGACATGGGGTCACTGTGTCCCTAGTGTCTATCAATGTCCCTATGTTTCACAGCGTCCCATGTGTCTCAGCATCCCCATGTCTCACAGTGTCCCCTAGTGTCCCCTAGTGTCCTCTAGTGTATCAGTGTCCCCATGTCTCCCTGCTGCCTTTCCACCCATCCCTCACTTACCTGAGCTGTAGAGCTGCTGCCTGGACTCTCTGTGCTGTGTAGCTGCTGCCCCACGGATCAGTGAGTAATAGTGAGAGGCAGGGATATGCCTTAACTTCCTATCCCTGCCTCTCTCCACACACAGTGACCCCTACTGGCTGGTGCTGGTATTGCAGAGTAATCTCCTTTTATACTGCGAAAAATACCTGCAATTGCATTGCCGGTATTACTGCAATACCGGCACAGCCAGCCAGCCATAAATACCGTCTGTGCCAGTAAAACACCAGTCAGGTGGCAAACCTAAGAGTCGTGTATTTAAAAAGAAAAAAATATATATATATTTTTTAAATGGGCCTATTCCATTGGCCTGGAGCTGCAGCTCCATCAGCTCCTATGTTAATCCGGCTCTGAATGGAGGTATTGTTGTACTCAGCAGATGTAGCTGAACGCAAAATAAAGTTTGTACAAGAATAGCACACACACCAACTTTACCAAATACAAATGAGAAGATCTTTGTTATAAGTTTGTGTGTCAAAAAATCACAATTTTACTCCAATATTTAGCAGAGGTTGGCGGTGAAATGGCTACGTAGAAAGTGTCAAAACAACCTTAGGTAAATAGCCCGTGATATCTACTTTATATAAATATATACTTTTGTTTAGCAATTTTGTTTTCTTTTATGGCTATTAAGCAAACATACCAAATTCTAGACACATTATATATTCTGTAAATCAGAACAACTAAAATAATTTATTTTTTATTACTTTCCTTAACCTACACTAGTTATGCACACATTATTATTGCAAAATCTGTAAAAAAAAATTTAAAAAAATGTTAACAACGCCTGTTTACACACCATTTATAACTCCTCATACGACTAGCACTACTCTGTTAACTCTTTTCTTACAAAAAGTGCAAGCCAAACTATATGTCATGATATTGAATGCATTGTTTCACCAGTTGCTGCTATCGTGGCACTGCAGGCATGTATGTAACCCTTTTTGCGCAACAAAAATAAAGAATTAAAAAAAATAATTTTTTAAATAAAAAATGTTTAAAAAAAATTGTATTATTTTTATAATAAATAAGGATTTATGCATGTATATGTTACATGAAATTAAAGCCCTTTTTGTCCTTTAAAAAAATGGTATATAATATGTGTTGCTGCCATACATTTGTAAAATGCAAATCGCTGTTGAACGCAAACAACAAAAAAATGCAAACATTGATTGTGTCATTAAGTGCAAGACAAGCTTTTGAAGCTGTATCTTTAAGGAGTTAAGTACCAATAAATGTTTCCTAATGTAATAGTTTAGACAGGTTTTGAGTAAAATACATATAAAAAAAATAAACACGATTATACACTTTATCAAGCAAAACACACATTTGTATTTATTTCTTTTTTTCTCCCAAATGATCTATATGCTGCTACTATTGTTTTGATCTAAAAAGTTGCAAAGCTGAGAACTTGCCAGGGAGCTCTTAACAGATTTTGATTTATTTTTTTCTTCATATGAAAATATATCTAAAGATGGAAATTGGATAGATCTGAAAAATTATTGTAAGATATTTTATGACTACAATTTTATATCAACATTCTTCTGAAACTACAAGTTATATTCTTACCAGACCTTACCGATTCTTGAATCACAGAGTTTGATTCAAGGACTTTTTACGATTCATTTTAAATGTTGATCTAATTAAAGATGCTATTTGCAGTTGAATCAAAATGTATTGGGTATTTTCTAACTAAATATAGACCTGGCCATGCTTCTTTCAACAAGATGGTTTTAATTGTGATCCAGAATAGTTACATGTGTAGGCACTTTTCAAGTTATTGTGAATTCTTTTCTATCTGAACAATGGCTGCGGACAGAATTTCAGGAGATTCCGTTTCACTGGTATTATCCTTTGTACATGTCTGGAAAAGAAAATATTCACATCTCTTTAATGCTAAATCCTCATGCAAAATCCAAGTTTTCATTGCACAATCATAACAAAAAGTCAAGGTTACTGTGCTTGATCACTCTGTAATTTAAATAACTTGATAAAGTTTCAGGCAGTGGAGCAGAAGGAGATCAGAGCATACAAAGGGGCAATAGAATAGCTAACTTCAGACAATTCCATTGGTCAAACAGCCACAGATATGTTCCAGTTTGTTAAAGCATTTACATTTCACGTTGGTTGAAAGCTTTGTTGGTAACAGATCACATTCCTGGGCAATCCATGGCAGCATCACCATAGAGTTCGCTTGGCTGATAAGTGCGGGAAATTAAAACTTTAAGTACACCCCTTAATCAGGATACCCTCAGTCTTTTTCCTGTCCTTTGGCTGCCAGGACTTTGTTCTCTTAACCTCCCTGGCGGTAATCCCAAGCATGGCTCGGGGTTAATTTTCAGTACCAAAAGTGGTAACCCCGAGCAACGCTCGGGATTACACTGTAGTATCACTTACCTTGTCCCTACGAGCCCTCGGTGTAAACAAATACACACAATACATTGGAAAAACAATGTACCACTTTAACATTAAAAAATACTGACATAATCGGACCGCCAGGGAGATTAAGGGAACATATATATTTTTATTTTACGTTTACCTTGGCCAATTTTAATGTTGCTAAACTGTGGTAAAGGTTTAACCTCTCTCTCTTAGCGCATGAAGCCCCATTCAGGAACAGCTCCCTGGGGGAATAAGGATAACTTTGATGGTGTTTTAATTCTTGTAAACCGTAATGATTCTTGCGATAACAGTATTTATGGCACGACAGTCTAAACAAGACCTTCATTCTATATGTTTGTTAAATTTCTGTGAGGAGGGCATCAGAATTTCAGCCTCTCTCTTCCCAGGAGCTCTTGGTTACCTTTTTTCCAGGACAGAGTTGTCCTATGTACTAGACCAGAAATGAAAATATGTGGTTCTTTCTACCTTTTTTTTTTTAAGGACTGACACACCTTATCCAATCCTTGGATCTAAGCACCTGTAGGAATTCGTCCCCATTCTATCAGAACAAGATCGACTTTTAGGGCAGCTGCAGCAAATACTAGTGTAAAGTGGCTAGTTGGGCTTTGGCCAATACTTTCATCAAACATTATGCTTTGTTTATCAGAACCGTAGATTTATCCTTCTTTGGAAAAACAAAAACGTCCTTTCTTCTGTATCTTCGAAGTAAAGCAGTTTATGATTTTTGTTGTATTTTTTGTCTTTGCCCTGTTTTGGTCCACACCCTTTGATTTATAGTTTGGATATTACCCAATAGTGATGCTGCCACGGATTGTCGAGGAATAGAGAAAACTTTCTCATACTTACCGTAATTTTCCATTCCTCAATATATACATACAGCATGGGTCTCCCACCCTCTTTACTTTTTTACTTCCGGGAGCTTGGACCTAGACCGAGGATATCCTGATTAAGGGGTGAATTTAAAATTGATTTTCCTGTCCTTACAAGCAAAGTGGGCAGAGCTAATGCTATGTGTTATTAGCAATTGTACGGCATGTCTTCATCTTCACCCATATAACAAATAGGTTTAAACAAGGATAGGCCAGGAAACAAATATTTTATATTTAAGTTTCTTAAAGGACCACTCTTGGCACCCAGACCACTTCAGCTTAATGAAGTGGTCTGGGTGCCAGGTCCAGCTAGGCTTAACGCATTCTTTTATAAACATAGCAGTTTCATAGAAACTGCTATGTTTATGAATGGGTTAAGCATTCCCCCAAAGCCTCTAGCGGCTGTCTCATTGACAGCCGCTAGAGGCGCTTGCATGATTTTCACTGTGAAAATCACAGTGAGAGCACGCAAGCGTCCATAGGAAAGCATTCATAATGCTTTCCTATGCGACCGGCTGAATGCGCACACAGCTCCTGCCGCGCGTGCGCATTCAGCCAACGGGGAGGAACGGAGGAGGATCGGAGGCAGAGAGCTCCCCGCCCAGCGCTGGAAAAAAGGTAAGTTTTTACCCCTTTCCCCCTTCCAGAGCCGGACGGGAGGGGGTCCCTGAGGGTGGGGGCACCCTCAGGGCACTATAGTGCCAGGAAAATGAGTATGTTTTCCTGGCACTATAGTGGTCCTTTAATTGTGAAATACACAGAACTGGGTAGGAAAAAGAAAATATGCAATCTTCAAAGTGATGATGTGATTGGCTGTAAAAATAAAAATGTAAAATGAATTTTGAAACAACTGGATTCAAATAGATCCAGTATAAACATATACAGTTGCAAGAAAAAGTATGTGAACCCTTTGGAATGATATGGATTTCTGCCCAAATTGGTCATAAAATGTGATCTGATCATCATCTAAGTCACAACAATAGACAATCACAGTCTGCTTAAACTAATAACACACAAAGAATGAAATGTTGCCATGTTTTTATTGAACACACCATGTAAACATTCACAGTGCAGGTGGAAAAAGTATGTGAACCCTTGGATTTAATAACTGGTTGAACCTCCTTTGGCAGCAATAACTTCAACCAAATGTTTCCTGTAGTTGCAGATCAGACGTGCACAACGGTCAGGAGTAATTCTTGACCATTCCTCTTTACAGAACTGTTTCAGTTAAGCAATATTCTTGGGATGTCTGGTATGAATCGCTTTCTTGAGGTCATGCCACAGCATCTCAATCGGGTTGAGGTCAGGACTCTGACTGGGCCACTTCAGAAGGCTTATTTTCTTCTGTTTAAGCCATTCTGTTGTTGATTTACTTCTATGCTTTGGGTCATTGTCCTGTTGCAACACCCATCTTCTGTTGAGTTTCAGCTGGTAGACAGATGGCCTTAAGTTCTCCTGCAAAATGTCTTGATAAACTTGGGAATTAATTTTTCCTTCGATGATAGCAATCCGTCCAGGCCCTGATGCAGCAAAGCAGCCCCAAACCATGATGCCCCTACCACCATACTTCACAGTTGGGATGAGGTTTTGATGTTGGTGTGCTGTGC